CGCACGCCGCACGTGTACGTGACACACGCACGCACACACGCCACGCACGCACAACACACGCACATGTACGTGCCTATGCACGCACGCATGTGTACGTGCACACACGCACGCACACAACGTGTACGGTGCCTATGCACGTGCGCACGCACACACGCACGTGTACGTGCACACGCAGGCGCACACACGCACGGTACGCACGTGCACACGCACGACACACGTGTACGTGCCCACGCACGCGGTGTACGTGGCACACGCATCCACGACACGCAACATGTAACGTGCACACGCAACGCCAGCATACACGTGTACGTGCACGCTGCGCACACGCATCCCCACACACATGTACGTGCTGACGTAGCACGTACGTGTACATGCACACGCACGCAGGCACGTGTACTGCACAACGCCATGTACACACACCGCAGCCACGCACATGTGCGTGCAGTACGCACGCACGCGCCGCAGTGACGCACGCCCGCACGTGTACGTGCACACGCAGGACACACACACACACACGCACACGCACATGTACGTGCTATGCACGCACGCATGCTGTTACGTGCACACGCCATGCACGCCACAACGTGTACGTGCCCCGCACGTGTACGTGCACACGCAGCCACACACGTGTACGTGCCTCATGCACGCACGGCACGTGTACGCGCACACGCACGCACACACGTGTACGTGCACACCAGCATACACGGGTACGTGCCCACTAACGCACGTGGCACCACGCACGCACGTGTACGTGTCAGCACGCTGTACGTGCGCAACGCGCACGCACGGCACCAAGTGTACGTGCACATGCACGCAAGCGTACGTGTCGTGCAGATCAGCTTTCTCCCAGATGTCTTTGCACCTCTACTTTGCAACTCTGATTTCAATTCATTTATGGTTTTCCCTTCGTACTAGACCCATTGTTTAGCAATGATACGGACAGTGCACGCGCCCCATCTACTTCAGCGATTAGTAAATGGCGCACCCTATTAGACAATGCACATGCTATTGGAAAACAACGGCGGCCCATACACGATTACGTCATGCCAGCTTGACAGGCCAAGGGGTTAGATGTCGCAGCACTTACCTCACCGACAAGGCTTGCCAGAGGTTCATTATGACGATAGCCCGATACAAGGCGCCACGGGAACAGTTTGCTAGCTATAAATGAGGCCAAATTCCTTACTGTGATATAAGTGACGGATCCACAGATTCCTCATCACAGGAAGCCGAAATTTTCTTGTCGAATTAAAATTTTATTTAATTTAAATTTAAATTTTATGATTCCAGTATCAAAGTTACATGTGATTTTATTACAATTGAATGTCTTTTACAAAACCTTCTTCGGGGACACCTTTTGTACCTTGGAGAGCGACCCCCTGTACCCCTAGCAGAAGGGGGCTCCACCCTCCTACCCCACCTACTCCTGGCAAATCACAATGCTCGTCGCTCTGCGCCTCAGTAAGAGTCCTTCGGCAGGACTAGTAGAATCTTGGAAGGACTAGTAGATTTTTTCTTTTACTAGTCTGTGGACTACATGAACTAACAATGGTTAGTGTCTACCTGCTTCCTCTGTCTAATTTTCCCTCAGAAGAAACCCTTGTATATATATATATATGTATATATATATATATATATATATACATTATATATAATATATCTTTAATATATATACAGTGTTTTCGCTGGCCAAAAACGTCTGTGATGTGGTAAAAATTTGTTGGTGTCTGCACGTTTCTAGGTCCTAGCAAAGCGAGCACTGGAGGTGCAGGTGCTCAAAATTTGTGAAAAAATGGTGCAATTTGGTGCATTCTAATCTATTCTGAACACATTGTATGAGATTTTCGTCAGCAAGGCGGTGTTTTGGACAAATTTCTGTGTGGCGGCTGAGAATTTGAGCGAGGCGGCCCGCCTCGCTTGTGTCGTGCAGGAGAAACACTAATTAATAAATATAATGTGTAGTAGTAATAATAGGCATGCACTCATGTGCACTCAGCTATTTTGTGAGGCACTAGAAGGCATTAGCTTACAAATGATTAGTACCTCATCCAGATGAGACGGGATACCAGAGAAGTGTTGCCGAAAGGAGGTGTTGATCCTATAACCGCTGAGCGGAGATCTTGCTCGCAGTTCTGCGGCAAGGCGCACGCAACCGCGGCAACGTCCTACGACAGTATGCAGCGCTGGCAGCTATGGATCCGTGCGCCGAATCCATAGCAAATCGGACCATATGCATTTTGTATTTTATCAAATGCAAAATTTGATAAAATAGTGATAGGAAATAGTACGCAAATTGTGCGCCCAGTTACCTCTTTTAAATAATACGCTGTTTAAGAATCGCCATTCGTTGCATTTCCCCGGAGCTCCACCCACTTTAAAAATAGTGTTAGCATTGTGGCAGTGGTATCCTGAGTGTACGAACGAGTTCGTATTTTGATTTTCGATTTTCGGTGACAGCAGTAAGGCGAAAGTGCAGCATTTCAATACAGCTTACTTCATTAGCATTATATATAGTACGTAATCATTTCCTGAGAGGTTCTTTTTGTATATATATGAACAATTAAGACATCTGCTATCTCTCTCATCTATGTGACCTTGCCTTATATCATATGCACCCCTAGTCCGCAAATGCAGATGTTATAACTTCGCTTTGCTAATGTGAGGGTGCGGGTTTATCATCACCCCCATTACTGCGGTCTGCGTCGGCTCCGACTAATGCACCCCTACCACTACAATCTCCCACTGCCATTGTCATTGTCAGTATCAGGAACTAGGTAGAGTAAATTGCTTGCTATATAAGCAGGGGTTGTCTAGCATAGGGGTATTGTAACCCTAGCAATACCGTTTCTTGGAACATGGAACATGGAACATTTATATAAACGTAATAGCTATAATAAATATAAGGAGGGACAACGAATAAAAAAACTGGACAGGAGACAACCACAGGTTATTGAAACCAGAGTTAGATTATGTACGGAAAATACTGGTGACTAGAAACACTAACATCTAGAGAACTAGAGGCGGCATTAATAATCTCCTTTTCTCTAGATAAACCCCGCACCTCGTAGAATCGAGTGCCTTGTGAAATACAAGAGAGGGTACCAAGATACAAGATGCAAGATACAAGGGTGATACAATTGTATGCACACCTACGAATACTTCTATTACTTACTATTAGTATTAGTATTGCTACAAGTACATGTTACAATAATTACTAGTAGTAGTAGTACTACTATTAGTACTAGCACTACTGCCACTATTGACTAGTACTAGTACTAGTTACTACTAGTACTACTAGACTACTAGCTGCAAGAAACGGTATTGCTAGGGTTAGAATACCTCTATATTGACGTTAGTGACACAGCCTGGTCGGGTTACTAGACTAAGTACTAGACTAAGTACTAGACTAAGTTACTACTATAGTACTAGAGCTACTATTACTAATACTAATACTATATAGTATAGTACTACAGCTAGTACTACTACTAGCTGCAAGAAATGGTCTTTGCTAGGGTTAGAAGACCTGTGTAAACACAATTTTGTTACAAGTGTAGTCGAGTAAACAACACCGACGCAAGCATTCCCAATACGCATAGCGAGCGCTGACGCGTTAACGGAAAAAATATTCGCCAATGCTATGCATATAGCCTCATTACGCCATCTATCGCACGCCATATGTACTACACTGATGTACACTCATGTACAGTGATGTGAAAAAAATAGCAAAAGTGTGTTTTTTACAAGAAACAAAGCGCGCCGAATAGCCAAAAATTTTGTATGAGCATTTCTAGCAAATGTCTAGCTACCTGGGTAGTGAAAGCCATCCTGCAATGGTGACAACTGCTGAACGCACCGATAATAGGGCTTTCGCCTATACCCAAAGGGACCTTGGAAAGGTGTTGGAAAAAGTGTAGCGAAGTTGTGATAGTCTGCCGCTACGCGGCGTTTTCCGCGCTTCGCGCGGATGTCCGGCTGCAGATCGTCTAGGGGCTGTATTCTTGTCTACATTTACCTAGTCTAAGTAAGCTTTATCATTCTGTCCAACTGTTATATAGGTTCTAGGACAAATACCCCCCAGACAATCACCCCCCCGGACAATTACCCCCAGACAATTACCCCCATGCCATTCACCCCCCCGGACAATTACCCCCCGGACAATCACACCTC